ATCATGATGTTTGTGCCAATTACGACGCTCTGATTGGTTGGCCCGTATTCGATCAGATTCGAACCTGAACGTCCAGTTTTGGAGTAGCCTGACAAACCCGTGGACGAGGGGGTCATCATCTTGTCACTCACCTGTCGACGTCACTCTAGCTGTCGCGCTCGTCATTCCATTGTTGTTCCTCGCTATACAACTATAGCTGCCACTATCTGATTTCTTCAGATCGTGGATTATCAAGCTATCAGCGATGACGTCATATTTGGTTGAATCCGATGTGATGTCTCTATCTGTAACTGCATCCTGATTTCATGACAAATGAATAGAGCGTTTGTCCACATTTGGTAAAAATCATTGTCAGACGCGTGCGTTTGCGACGCGGCCGATCAATCCATATACATTGTAAACGCATGCCAATTTGGCAATGTGTTAAACACGCTTTTTTGAGGAGAAAAAGGGCGAAGAATGTAATTCTTACAAAAATACGCGCATGCCTTGTCCACTCCCTTCCAACCACTTACTTCTAGCCCTCTTCAAATGTTTTGTAATACTTTCTAACGTTTTCCCATTAGGAGACACGACCGCAACGACGGCAGTTGTGACCTTCGATTGTACAAAAAAGCCAAGGCATTCAAATTATCTGCTGAAATGACCTCTTTGCCCGCTGGAACCAATAATAAACAACAAATCTATTCGCCTTGAAGTTGGTATGCAGTCGTTCTATTTCACCTAGCGCGAAAGAAACTGTACCGTCAGCTTGAAAAAGTGTCCCCATAAAACATCGCAGAAAGCGGCAGTTTCTTTTCTTAGCCCTTTTATGAATTCGCTCTAAATTTATGGATCCCTTGAGACTAGTCCTACGTCGGCGTTGCTGTCCACAAAACCCACACCAACGGGTGATCGGGTTTCACAAATATTAGACGTTCGTACTATCGACTCGACGTCAAGAAAAAGTGAGCCGTCAAGGTCTTAAGCAGGAATGTCGAGAACGATGTGGCTTACCGTTGAATCGCCATGTTATAGAAGGCGTCGGTAATCCCGTAGCAATACAACTGAGCCTCAAACTTGCTGTTCCAACAGCGAAGGAGACATCTTTTGGCGGTGAAGTGATAACTGGAGCTCCAGAGGTGTTCTCTCGGTCATTTCCTTCCAATGCCGTCAATTCATCATCGCTCCGGAGGAACTCTGAAAACATTCGAATTAGAAGAGCGCTATTTCACTCCTTATTTTCCCATTTTTCAAAATCTCGGCAATTTGTCGAAAGCTGTTTCCGATAGTAACTTTGACTAGGAACATAAGACAGGGGTCGTTTGACCGCTTCAGTGCGACTATCACACCTGCTCGACGAAAAAAAATGCCTGGCAACAATGCAATAGGTACCTGCACTAAAACTGGCTTGGGACCCGGCACCGGTCAGCTTGACTATTAACCAGGACCTTTCCTGATTAGGGACCTTCGCGAAACTCTTCTATTTGTTGGAAGAATATGATTATCAGCATTTTAGGCACTTTTTGAACATGATAACGGCTAGCATAAATATAGGGGATGAAGCTTTCGATGTTGACTAACATTAACATTTTACCAAGCTTTTCGAAAATTTTGCTATCAAGCTGAGGGGTAGACGCCTTTGGCCAACTTTTCTTAATAAATATTAGCTTTGTATTGCCGTTGAGTGCGCGGTAGAGAGGAAAAAATCGACAATAGTACGACATCTACTATCCTTCGGCAACCGAATGCGATTCCTCATTGGGAATCCCAACGTACATGCCCTAAGTTCCTACTACTCGGAGGTTGACCGTGGACCCTCACTGGGACCACAAAACCGATACTCCCAGGCATAATTCGGCTTGGTGGGGGTTTCGCTGATTTCCATCGCTCACTGCCAATGCCTCTTGCGAATATCGGTAAATTCCTCAAAGCTATGCAATAGCATGTTTCATTCAAACTTGACAAGATTCCACACGTCTTACTAGGATGAGACGTGTAATTTCACAGGAACTAGCCAAAAAGCACAATGTCCCCCCCTCCCTCTAAACCGAACAGCGCTAAATTTCCATATAATGAACACATTGCTAAGCCGATAACCATACCTATATTCAAAGTAGAGGTGACTAAGCCAGTTGGACTCGCACAAGACACTTTTTCTAGTGTACCCGGTGCCTAGCACGAAATCGGGTTATTTGTAGCGCTCTCGAAAGAACGCGTCCCTGTTGGAGATGTAACCTTATATTTCAGACTTCGGCGCTTTTTCAGGAAGTCTTCTTCGCTTGCGTGCAGAGATGGTGGCCCACTTGGGTATACCAGTGTTCCCCGGAGTCTCGTGCTCTTCTGTTTTGAATACACTCTTCTTTTGCAGAGGAGGATGAGAAGCAGGGGGAGGGAAATGTGACCTGACATCGACCACAAACTCTCTCTGAGCACTTGTAATGCCCAAATAGTCCGGTTACAAAGACTCTCGCCATTCTCGGCAAAAATCCCATTACACACACCTGGATTATGACGCAATCATTGATATACACCTTAGCCTTAAATGTAACCCCAAAACATCTGCCTTACTGCTAATTACCCCCCACATGGCCAGCTATGAGAACCATCCATTAAGTTCATCTTTTCACCCCCTGGTTGATCAATGGCCCAATGCCGGACCACCCCTGAGCCAGCCCCGACGGCAACGACAGCGGAACCGGCACGCGACCATGGCTTCCTTCAGATGTGAAGGTCGTGTGTTGCGCAGATCGTCCAGACATCGCAATTATCCTCTTACAAAACGCCGATTCCTCCGAAGATTTCGCACCACTCGCAACCACTCAAATCGCGGAAACGATCTGACGACTTTCGAGGGCTGACGACAGCACTCTCATACGTTACTTAACGTCCATGAAAAAGTTCGGCGCCATCTTTTAGCCTTCAGAATTTTGTAGTGAAAAACCTACGAATCAGACAATAATTGGACACAATTACATGGGCACCCAGTGGAGAAGAAGTGGAATGGAAGGTAGCAATTAAGGGTTTCCAGCCATTGGAAAACCACTAGGAAACATGCAATAATCCCTCCGACAGTCATTCTTCCATAGAATTATTACATGAATAAGGAAACTTTCGGACTTTTGGTGGTGCCTTCTCTTGCGCAGCTTTCGTACAACATCCTTCCCCTATGCTTTTCACCTTGCAAACCCCGACCCGCTCTCCGGGGCTTCACTCAGTAGTCCTACTGGAAAGTCCGAGCACAATCTGCACTGAAGATCCGTTGCAAGACATCTATTGATAAGTAAAGGGACCATGAGCTTTGCTTTCTTCACATTTGTTTACCCAAGACAAGCCGCCTTTCCAATGCCAAACCAGTCCTGAGCCATTTCTCGCGAAGCATTCTCCTCGAAATAAACATTTTTCGATGGCAACTTCTGCATGTGCACATAGCTTTTGGGAACGTACTTCAAGCTCTACTATATTTCAACAGCCTTTCCACGATTAAGCGGGTGGACGGAGAAATAGGCGGAGACTCATAGCCACTTGGTATCCCACCAAAAGGAGCTTACTAATCCTAGAAAATGTTACCATGAGCGCAAAACCTAATGGAGGCACATTATCACAACGAAGGAAAATTGGCGCTGTTTGTTTTGATAGGGCACCAAATGGTTGTGAGTCTCCGCCCATTTCTCCGCCCATAGGGCAGCCGTGGAATAAGACTTTAGGTACGTTCAGACAGCACTGTTCGCGGTGTCCTGTTTTTAGGGATATGGGTGCGTTTATCAGCACGCTCGCAGAAACGCACGCGGCAACGCTCGCGAAAAGATTTTCAGAATAGTAGCTTAGGCCCGGCTGAGAACCCAAACACAACGAAAGTGATCAATGATAGAAGGAAAAATGTCTGGCGATCAGATTTGTTCAAAAACCGAATGAAAACATTCAAAAATCGTCCAGTTACCATACCTGGATCCTGACTGACTCCCTCCTTGACCCATATGGTGTTCATACTCGATCCAGCCTCGTTAGTCGCTTCACACTGATAGATGCCGTAGTCCTTTTGTGAAAGCTCATCGACGACTAATCGCCCATTTACCGAGGCAACCTGCAAGGAATATTGTAGAACTATTGTTTTCTCGAGCTTCGTTTCTTCACAGACTTCCCCCTTCCGTTCCCTTTATATTTCGACTTTCAACTATATCCCGCATAGCTGTGAGTGTTTCAATATCCTTTTGTAGAATCGCTCAAATAGATTAGCCGCGATCAAATGGCCACTGCGATCCGATTATTAGTGAGAGGGGCCTCGGGCGAGACAAATGGATTGGTTACACCATAATGGCCGCTAGTCGCAACCGGTCACACCACCGATCACTTGCCACTCCGCATAAACTCACTCACAGTAGTGTTGCAGCTCCAGCCATGTGGCCGAGAACACTGGAGTCAAAAAAAGAAAGAGAAATTGCAAATGGGAAAGACGAGTAATCTATCATATTACAGAACGGGTTTGCAATTCGTCTGGGTGATTTCCCGAGAAGCCATTTATGTGAGCTTTCATGTAGGGATTATAGAGACTAATAGTCGTTCTGCATTCCTATTCTGGCAAGAAGAGCCATTGGGCTAAACTATCAATCGCCGATGCAATTCGCGCCGATAAAAACTAGGCTTCTTCTAGCTGCAACTCCTTACTGGGAGAAATGATATACCAACGAAGAAGAACTAGTGGTTGTGAGTCTCCGCACACTCCATCATCCAGAAATTTCTTTAATGTAACCGCAGGCGCAAACCCCACGGACCATTGATAGTTACACTTGACTCCACTTGCCAGATTAATTGAACTGACCGCCTACTCAAAATCTGCATAACAGGCTTCTCAGCATATTACCCAGGCAACCGCAAACCCTCGCTGCACCACGATGTTTTACCCTTTTTCCTAATTCATATTTGTCCTTCGTTGTTTGATTCCATTTCTGCAGATACACAGCTTGACTTGGCGGATTATCGCGGATTATGTCATGACATTGTCGTTTTCTAGCCTCGTCGCGTTATAAATCGTTCAGAATTGAATAAAGCCTAGAAAAGGCTATGGGAAATCCGTTCCGCTTATGAAAGGGAACTGAACACCACGTTCCCATTAGTGAGTCTACGCTTTACCCCCCCCCATCTCCTCCGTTTACTAACGATACAACCTACGCTCTAGAAAGCGTTGGCTCCAGCTCGTGCCCTCCTACACCACAATCAAAAGCTTAACGTTACCATGGATAATGGACGAGCTTTTACGCGCATCCAAATTCATTAGTGGCAGCTGATATAATTAAGTTAGCTGAAACCTTTTATGGAAATCAACGCCACAGTCGCACTCCATAGTATTAAAAGGTCACAAAAGGATTAGTGAGAAGAAATTAGCACCAGCTTTATGCGCACTTATCCAGCTCGCTTGCTAGGTCCACCATTCAGATCATTACAACACCTGCCATATGCAGATCACAACCACACATAGATGTGAGCCTCACCAAAGGCACGCCTCGCATTCGCTTTATGTTCCCGCGCCCTCTTTGGACGTGATAGTCCAGCCATAGAGGATGAATACTTCTAGGCTCAAAAATGCGTGAGGAAAGCGCTAGCGATGAAGCCACCGCTCCTCACAATGGCCACCGCAACGCCCAACTTTCATTTTTAATTGCTATCTTTGGTGCGGTTGTCCCTCTACTCTCTCTACTTCAAATGGTGAGTGAGGTGATAAGAAGAAGGAGCTGGCACCAAAAATTGAGAATTCGTCAAACCACGCCCTTTCTTCGCCTTATGCATGTTCAAGGCGCGGTTCAGCATAGGGCCCTGTACAGAGAGCATTCGAGCGAGCTTTTTTCCTGCTTTTTTTTCTTCACTGCTGCATCGCTTACTAGAGAAGTGGGAGGAGGAGTCACTTTGCTACTGCTCATCGGTCGTGTCGAGCCATCAATTAGAGATCTGTGAAATTTCGTGAAGGTCATGAAGTAATACAAGTTGAAGTTTCCAGGGAACTACGAGACTACTTGTCAACTCTTGTGAAACAATGAACACAAGAATGAGAGTAGCGATACTGCAAAGCGTGAAACTCGCGCAAGCGAACTGCGTTTCTAAAATAAAAACAGCACAAAAAAACTAGAGAATAAGGCATTCCTGTTGATAACAATTGGTCGCAAAGTGTAGGAAAAACAGAGATTGATAAGACGCCGTCGCTTTCTTTCAGACCATGAAGCGCTACTTGTCACAATTACTGTTTAGCTGCTCAAATATACCAAATCCAAATGGAATATCTACTCCAGCATGTCATTCCGTAAAGACACTCCTTATCCACTTCAATCAGGTAATGTTCTCATGAGGTCAGACTCTCCTGTCGTTAAACAAACAAAGGGCCAGTAAGAGGACAGAGGCCATCAAACAGTCGGCCAGACAATTCCACCGATCACAGCATCTCTCCCCAGCCGTTCAATTGTCAAGGGACACGGTGTGTTCTAGAAGAGGCTATATCAAACAGATCTGTCATGGGAGCAACCAGGACACTCAGATAACCTGAAAGCCCCTTTTGGAGCCCAAACAAAGTCAAATATAGATTCTCTCCACACACCCGTGCCTCTTCGAACACTCTGCACGCATTCTCCCTTACCCCGAAAACTAAGAGGCCTTATGGTTTTGGGTGAGAGCCTAGGTGATTACTACCACATGATCACAGGGAAAGCCCTTGACCCTTCGCTACACGCGTCAAAATCCCACTTACTCCATCGCATTGCCATCTGTCACTTTTTGTCAACGATACTCACAGCGATTACGAGACATGACATTAACGAAAAAAAACTCCCAAGGTTAAATCAGCTGTTGTAAGAACGGGACGACACAATAGAAACATTTCTTCAGCTCAAAAAAGTCTCATCATACCCAGAATTGGTGTCGTACACGTATCGCAGAACAATAGGGATGTTTTCTTAGTTTACGTCGACAGAATGTCATGAAATGGGCAATCCAGCGACCGGGGGGGGGGGGTAGTGGCAGTTTGCGCTTTTGCTACTTCTCATCGACATATCCAGAGAGCCGTTTCGTGAGCTTGCAGTAGATGACAGGGTTAACTGGTTTTATTATGGTGGCTCGACACGCTTGCTCCAGTTTCACAAGGGTTTACAGGTCTCACTAGACGGTGACATGTAAACCGGAACTGGTGTAGCACGGAAAGTGCGAAATTCCCCCCACCCCCACCTTTCGTCGCCGAACTGCACCCATTGAGTACCAAACACTTCTTCGAACATGCCTTACCCTTTTAGGAACGATCTTCCAAATTCCAACATCAAGACAAAACCCTTTCTATGGGCACATATTAACCCGATAACCAATTTGAACTGGTGACGATCTCTCAGATTTCTCCCTTTTTATGAAAGAAAACCACACCAATCAGATAACAGTACTAAACGCTGTTCGGTTCGGGGAGGCATCTTCCGTTTCATATGAGATAATCCTAGGGTCATACGACCGCAGACTTCCTGAAAATTGTGAAAGCGACTTGTTCTTTTCACTCGTATAGCCCAAAGGGGAAGTTGTTACCAGTCTAAGCGCACGTTACGACGGATTTGGCTTCTGGGTCCAATTAGTTGACCCCCGAATTACAAATGACTCTTTGGTCAATAACGTGTAATGAAGTCATCAATTGTGAGCCAGCACGAAACGCTCTGCCGCAGCCCTCGCGACCGCATCAATTCAGCCCCAAATGTATTTATTATTTATGAGAAATTATCATGTCATGTATGATCCCAGAGGATAGCACATTCGCATTTCACACGCCTCTATTGACTCCATTCATAGATGTTCTCGGTTCTCAACTACTTATAAACCAGTTCTTCCTAGATCCCGCTATTCAAATTGTCGCCAACATAATGCCAGGTCAATGACCGAATTGGGTCATACTTCCCTCTACGAGCTACCCCTCACTTCCCCTTCCCCTATTAGTGAGTGCGGAAGGCAAAAGGCGTGACTATACGAGGTGTCCTTGCGACTGGTGCCAATTAGTGCGGATAACTAGCGATGATTGGGCCAGTCAGTATCTCCACACCGGTTTCATTTAACCGCAAATCCATAGAACATACATTCTACCTTTTCTAGTTAATGAAGAAAAGAGACCACACAAAAAAGAGAAGCAAAAAGGGTGAGAAAAACGAAAAAAAAGAAACGCAAAATAAGAGATCCAAACCTCATTCCCGTTAAAGTACCACTGGATCTTCGATGGTACACTGTTTTTCCTTGGCGAGCAAGGAATCGTCAAACGAGAGCCCAGAGGTAAAAACTTTTCCGATGGGGAAGGTTTCAGCGTTGGTTCCTCTGAAACAGATCCGGTTCATGCTGGATAGATATCAACGGTTATCGACTACTACTGACTGTTATCAACTACTATCATCTACTATCAATCATCTGAGGCTGCATACATCTTTGCGGCAGCGACTAGGAAAGTATGGATATCGGTCTAGCGAACGCCGGCGTCCACTAGCACCTGCGTGTGTCCAGGAGTGAAGAATATGAAGAATTAGGAGGGTAACAGACTGCTGGTAGCAGACTATGTGGGAAAGTAGGAGCAAGGAGCAGAACGGCTGAATTATGCGTCGAATTGTGGCGCGAAATCGCATCGTACCACTACAAAGTTCATTAAGCTGCATGAATCTGTGCTTTGGCAATTGTGCGGTGCGGTTGCACACGTTGCAATTTCACGACGCCTAATCCAGCTGTCTGCTTCCATACTCTATGAGCAGTCTGCTCCCTCTTACTTCTCCCTACTTTCCACGCCTGGACGCTGATGGTCGCTGTGGCCGCCGCCGTAACGTATGAACACAGTCCCGTTCATGCAGGATAATCATCAACAGTTATCAGGTACCACTAACTGTTACCAAGTACTACCTACAACAATCCCTAACAATCAAATAAGATTACGTACCTATGACCTTGATCTTCGAAGATCTCTGATCGAATAGCACTCCTGAAGCTGCATCTACTTTGCACTCGAGTTTGTGTTCGCTACGACCCTGCAAAGGTGATAAAGCACATAAACAAACACTGACAGTGGTGAAACGTGACATAGTTGATTCCTCTTCCTATCAATACAACTGGATAAATCGTTCACTTAAAAGAAAGACAAAGGTTGCAACGAAAGGTCTTACTTTGCCGAGGGCATCTGGTACCATCATAGTCAGACGACGATTGTTCTGAGAAAGTTCAGTGCCAGTTTCCGTGCCTGAGATCACCACTCCGTTCAAAAACCATCGAGTTCGAGTTCCGTCCCTGAATTTCGATAATAGCTCTGGTTTACGAAGATCTTATATTCATGAAGCCAGCGGAGCTATGAGAGCCGATGAAGCACGTATGCTACTGTATGCTACTTGTCAATGGCACACGACGTGCCATTGACACAAGCTTACAAGTTCCGGATGTCAGGCTGCGTACAGTACCCCCGAAATGCGGGTCATGGGACCTTATGGGCAAAGTTTCACCAAAAAAATGACTTGTTGTTTATTAGCTTTATGATCGTTACAAGGTCTTCATTTCCCTTCAGGCCAGACTCAGCCTCAGCAGAGCGCAGATGATCATACTGTCCTACATTAGCGCCGGCGGCAGGAAAAAATGTTATATTTGTGATCAGGAGGTCAAATAACCACCGTGTATCATTTTTCATCGACTTGGTGATAATATAGGGTGTTTAGGCCCAAACGAATGTGATATACACGAGCAGGAGGTCAAACTACCCCTACGGACAAGTTTTCAGCGAATTTGGTGACTTAGGGTATTTTGGCGTCAGCGCCTGTGGCGCCAGGCAGTTTCCGGCCAAGCGGATGAGATGCTCGTGTTCAGGAGGTCGAATATCCCAGTGGGCAAATTTCCAGCCAAATCTGTCCTCGTAGGAAAAAGTCGTTAAAAAACGGCCTGATTTCGGAAGACTGGGGTAGGAATAGTTCAATAGTGCCTAATTATCATATTATATGATGCATTTAATAATTTGGCAATTTCTCAAGGAAATACATCACCGTATGAAAACACCATTCCCCGTGAAGCAAGTTTCTCAAGCAAATTATGGGTTTGGCGTGTAGTGTGTTAGTGCACCCCACATGGATGTTTTTCATCTGACGCGCAAATTTCGGGGGTACTGTAAGCAGCCTGACATCCAATATTGTGCCACGTCTGGTAACACGTTAATGACGTCATCGGTAACTATAAAATGGTGGTTTCTTCGTCATTATCGTGTTAGAGACACGTCATCTCCTAACTCTTACGTTGCGGACCTCTGCCACACCTGCCCCAATAGTTGTCCAACGATGAGAGCCACAGAGGATTCGGACGTTTTTTTGAAATTTGTGAACCTCACAAAAGGCCAAGGCCGCGAAATATCGTCATAAACGGAACCTCCCCCCCCCCTCTCTTCCTACTCTTCCCAGAATTTCCATCAAGCAGAGAGTTAAGAGCGCCCATCCCGAAATCCTCACCCAAACCCACGATCCTCTTCAACAACTCAAATACGGCCCCCTTCGCGGGAATTCCCCAATGATACTTTGCCCTGGCTCAGGTTAGAACTCTTCACTGCTGATTACATCTCGTCTTCAAGAATCATAAAAAGGAGTGATTAGCGCATAAAACTGTTAATAAATCCTGAAAAACGCACTTCAAGGACGCCACACAGTCGAACGATTCTGGTCGCTTCTGTGAAGACCCAGAGGAGTAGACTGTTCGATCCTCAGAATGATAAATAATAAATAATCCTTCTCTAGATTCTCTGAAATGGAATATAATACTCGTAAATCTTGCTGGAATCAAAAACAGCACGTTCACATCTTGCGATTCGAACGCTCAAACGATGGAATCGCGAAGTATGAACGCACTCTAAATCATGAACCACTCAAGCGACCTCACCCTGTATTCATTTGCTGTTGAACAGTAAATATACTCGAAACTGCTTCACCGAGTCCTTCGACAGAGGCTACAACCTGAGGAAACCCAAAAATTGGATCAAGAAAAAAAAAACTCAAAACCCGAATCCAGAAAGGCTCAGGTCAAGTCAAAAACGAGGAACGGAACAAAAATGGAATTCAATCAAACGTTTTGCTAACGTGATTATCTTTGATCTTCTTTCTACACTTGGTTTTTTTTTCAAGAATGAATATCACAGCGGCCCTGCTTCGCTTGGTGGGGACACCATAGGTTACTCAGCTGGGGTTGTACAAGCTGATTCGCGAAGACCTGTGAATTCCTGTGATCAACGGGAGACTCGATCGATCAACTTCGCAAATTCACAGGAGTTCAGGTCTGACCGAAATGTGACCTGCTTGTTGAGATTAACTTACAAAACGAACCAGCCAAAATGCGAAATGCTTCCTTCAAGCCAAGCAGCTCGCTATTCCAACATGACGCGACATTTGGTGCAACAGTTCGGCAATTACCGTACTCCCAATTTTGCACAAGGTGTTCGTTGAAAACATAAACTTTTAAGGGCTTCTTCTCTACGTCGTTCCTTCGATTTTTCTTCTTGCTGAAATGCACACTTAGTGCTGGAAGGAGGGAAGGAAAGACTGTGGGCCCAGGGGAAGGCGCAGACGAGCAGAGCTTTGTAAATGTGCCGCTTTTCCTCCTCCTCCCCGCTTATCAACTCGCTTAGCGTTAAATGAGAAAATTAATTGTATCTCGTGGATTTTTTCCCCAGGTGTTCACCTAATCACCCACAATGAATCGATACCCATACTCTTCTTTACGCCTTAAACTCTCGAGGCACTAAAGAAAAGTATGAACGCAGCCTAAATAAAATTAATTCTTTGGCAGATTGCTGTCACACTGGCGAGAAATGACGGCTGTTTGTCCAGCAAAGCTCGCTTCAACTATAGAAAACGCATGTATTCATTTTCTCGAGTGGGGACTTGAATCTCCGTCGGCAAAAAATGTCAGGAATGCCCATAATAACGAACAACCCCTTCGATAAAAAAAGAATTTCTTATCTGATTCATCACGAACCTTGTAACCTCCAAACGACGATCGAATCGCATCTAGGACAACCAAATCTCCTCGAGATGTTATGTAGTGTGACCTGTTCGAGTAGACCTTGAAAAGAAAAAGTAATTAACTTTGACCTCTTTTTCCGCCTTTATTGCTTTTTCGTTAAAGATTCAATACAGCCAATTCCAAAGACCATTCCATTTTGCGCCGCACCACTGAGCACATTTTCACGAATTAGTTCCCGGGAAACAGCGCTGTGCTTGCAAATGTTAGCACTGAAACGTCTTGAATCGTTCCAAGTCTTTCAGCTATTTATTTGCATAAAGGTGGACGACCATCAGCAGCACAATGGCCGCCGCATAGTCGCAGAGCGCGTACGCGGCGTCGACAATCAAATATTTTCAGTGTCAAGGTAATGTAAGAAGCCCGTTGATAGCTCACTACTCTACCATTACGGTTTGAAAAATGCGATAATTCCTGCGACGAACTCGTTTCGGGGGAGAGTTTAAACGCTAATGACAGGTGGGTTCGCGGCTGATGTTCGCTTGTGACCCATTTGAAAGCGCGGCTGGGAAGAAGTCACTGTAATTCTACTTCTTAAGCGAGAAATGTTCACCTCAATGCACCCGAAAGAACGCGACTTAACTCATCGGAGGAAAAACCTGTGGTGCTTCCAAGGTCACCTTGCACGATTGACTGGAAACGTATCGATTAGATAACCTTATTCGCGGCAACAGTGACCGTCAAGAGGGGGCACGGGCAGAACCTGAGCTACCAGCCTTTGATGGGATGGAACCAGCTGCACTGGGAACGTGTTTTCTCACCGTTCCCCTGTCTGCTGACAATGCATCCTCCTGTCAAAATCAGGATATGAAAACAAGGTTGAAAGCAAGGAAGGAAAATACGAAGAACTTGAGAAAATTTCCAAGCACATAAAAGTTCTTTCTAGAGAAAGTCTAATCTTTGACTGCCACAGCCTCAGATCTGCTCAAGGATGGGTTGAGTCCGCTCTCCAGCAAGGGGGGGGGGCTTTTTCGGTTGCTGCAGGAACGGATCGCATTTGACTTTGGAAAAACGTTCTCGGTCGCCGATTTTTCTTTCGGTATTTCCCGTTTCAGATGCGCGATATATAGTACCACCCCTCCCAACACCACTCTCTCAGTCTCCCACTCCCCTCCGCGCTCGAAAGGCAGTTTTTTTTACGGGGTAGCGTTGTACTTTATAGGATTTTTCCCAGAGGCAGAATGTTCCCTGTCTGGAAGCATTTTGAGGATTCCTCGTTCAGAAAAGGGAGTACCACTATGAGAAATCTACTTTATGGGCAACAAGTCGCATCCGCTACAAAGGTCCTTCACCCTAGGCTTAGGCAAAGACTTCCATGTTTTTATAGCGATTCGATTTTGCACACCAAGAAACTAATTAATTTCACTCCTCCCGCTTCTGTATCACATGAAAAATACTCCCCCCCCCCCCCCCCCATCCAAAAAGAAACCGGAAAACTCCTACTCAACACACTGAACGCTAGGAGTTCGCGATAACGCAACTCTAACTATACAATGTCAACTGAACCGCGACCTGCGCGAGAGTGCTAAGGAGGAAAATCAATGCACAAAAATGCACTGAACTCAGTTTACAAAAGCGCGAAGAAAAGTAGAAAAACGTGCATTGGGACTGATGCACGGCTTCAATGTGCTTGAATGTGACCCTTTGCCTCATTTCTCGCCTTTTCATGGCAATGTTTTTTTTCCTCATCCCTTTGCAATCCATTCCTGTCACTTGGTGCCCCTTAAGACTGATGCCTTTGTGCTCATATTGTGGGAAATTTTCACAGAATGCGATATCCCCTCGAAAGTTCCCCCTCTTGTACGAACCCCCTTTCCCCATGCTAGCTGCCATAATCCTATTTCCTCAAACCCCCCATCTCCCCGAAGTATTTTTCCGAAAATTTCTGCTTCTTAAGGTATGCAGTGCATGCGAGGAGACTCAGAAAAGTCAGCCAACCGAAAACATTCTCCTCAGTAGCGCGACTTTCCCTCCCTCCAGCGACCACATACGACCCCCCCCCCCTCCGGGAATCTCCACCGTACAATATGTCCTGTGTAACAGATCTATTCAGTTAGTTTCAAACGGCTGGCGATGCTCATCTATGGTTCCGCCCCTGAAACCGATAAGATCTCCTCTTTTTATAGCCAATCACGCGCGCACAAACCCAACGAGCTAAACAATTCAGTCAATATGAGTGGGGTCAATGAGACGGACTGCAGCAGCGCAAACCATCAGCCGCCGTCGGCCGACATTAGCCCAAATAGATCGCCGCGTGCAAAAAAGCTACGCACTTGTGATACCGGCGGTGTCAACAGGATGGGAAAATCGTCTCAGTTGAAAAGGAAACAAAGCAAAAATCACATGGGAAATTCACCTGAGTTTCGCCATTGTACCATGAATATTCAATATTTGGTAACGGATCGTTATTAGCCAGTAGTGCAGGTCTACGAATGACAAAATGTCCTCCTTCTGCAGCATAGATCACCTTCTCAGATAGATCGGGCTCTTCGAAACCGTCAAGATCTGAAAATATTCCAAATAGTTATCCTCGGAAAAATCTCGAGGCTTAGAGGGGGGGGAAGGTATCCTGCACTTTCGCCACTTCCCATCGACGCGTCTAGCCATCAAGTGGAGACCTGTGGAATTTTGCAAGCCATTAACCACCTCACTTGTAAAGCGATGAAGGTCTGATGGAAAGCACGGCAGGACAAAATGTTCCCCCCCCCCCGGCCGACCTGCGCCAAAATCTCTGGTTCTCTTTCTTTCAAGAGTCTCTTGAACATTCGGCTATAGCCAAAGAACCCGAGAAAGCAGCCCGCCACTCAGGCGCTGAATTTCAATTGCGCTCTTCACCTTCAAAACAAGCACTTATGGCCTTCTAATGAACTCTTCACTATCATAACAACAAGGAAAAGCTATGTGGGGGGGAAGTATTTCAAGTAAACGCGATTGAAAAACTAATTGAAATAGAGCATGAACGTCAAATATGAAAAGATAACATGCTCAAGCAAATAAATGAATATAATTCAAAGGAAGAAAAAAAATGAAAAAAGGCGCAATTCGCCTTGGGGGAGGGGCATCATGCACCTTATTTCCTACCGACGTGTTGAGTTAAGTGGGAACCAACGAAATTTTGTGAAGCCACGGGGGAGGGGGGGGGGATGTGAAGAATAGTTTTTGTAAAGCAATGAACACGACGATGAGAAGAAGGAAAATGCAAAATTCCCTCTCCTAGGCCGAACAGCACCGAACACCGAAAAAGTATTCAATCTTTCAATAAAATATTCATACTGCAAAGCTTCAGAGATTTCAATATGAATATGGATCTTTCTAAATACAGCCGACGAGGCAGAGGACATGGAGGGTAAGGAACCGCAAGAATTTATGTTGAAAAAAATTGCCCTGTCCTAGCCTTAGAGGGCATTTGAGGACTCTGCGCGCAAAATTGGGACCAATGTAATCCGTGAAGAACCAAATCAACTAACTTACTTCCCTCTTTTGACCCTTAGATTCGTCAGATCTCTCTAATACATCCTCTATACTTGTGATATACTCTAGATCCGATCCTGCCCGATCCTTAACGGGACCTTTTATGATTACAAGTTTGGCTCATAGAAAAAAGGGCTTCACATCAGTTTGGATGGCCATGGCTAGTAAAAACCCTTTCGGCTCAGGCAGACGTCCTCCTATCCACTGCGAGAAATCCCAGTAGTGAACCAGTGAGCCTCTAGATGCCCCTTCCAAGGTTCAATCCTGAGAGGGGATGGAGGAGAAGCTGCAGGATTGATGAACTAATTGCTGTTAGCAAAGTTGTGATTTAAGAGCCCTTAGATGCTCAGCACCAAAATATCCCGCGTTCTTGCATTGGTGCCAAGGAGTGAGGGGCAAGTCGGCTTAGAGGGGGGAGCACTCGAAACTTTCCTCGTGTAAGAATAGGACTAACGCGATGCGACCCTTCCCCTATCCGGCGAAGAACTTGGTTCACCTACTCGGGAACTCCTTCCTTGTTAGGCTCAAGCAAAATACTGGCGCTAACGTAGTTGGAGGGATGCACTCGGCTGAGCTTCTGTATCCCTTCCCCAAAAAAGCTCCGGTAGAGCGTGCAGCCGACCAGAGTTGCAGGGGAATAGTCCCGCGTGGAAGATAGGATCAAGACAGTGATATGGAGGCGCTGGCCAGTGGTTTCATCCCAATCACGTCAGTGCCAGAAATCCCATCACCAGGCTGCGTTCATAATTCGCGTCAGCGTTTTGAGCGTGAGGCAGCGTTCCTAGCGACAAGGCAAAATAAGTATCGATCTAAAGTTTTGAGCTTTCCGCGGGCAGTCGCTCAAAACGGCGGCAGACCCTTGGAACGTTGACGCAAAGTATGAAGCAGCCTTAAGGTAATCTCGCTTTTGCATAAAAAGTTGAATGAAGCCCCCTCCCCTCACGAGGCAACTAGCGCCAGAATTCCACCAAATGACAACAACAAAAGGATCAAGAGTAAAAAATATTCGAATTAAATAAAAAAAGTAAAAACAAAAAATTGCTCTATAAAAGAAAAAAAACTGCAATGAACTGAAAAAATTTGAACTCACACTGCACAATGACCTTGACCGGGGGCGAAAGAGCAGACGCGACGGAATTCGTCGCCACACATCTGTACACACCCGAGTCATTTCTCGAAATGAGACCGATCTGCAGCACCGGGGAGAATTCCGCCGTTGGAAATCCATCTTTCAGCCACTGAATTCGTTCCGAGCGATCCGTCCGACAGTTCAAATTCAGTGGTTGCCCTTCGATGAGCTGAACAGACGCTGGAAAGTCGTCGTCTCGAAAGGAAGGCGGTCGACCTCGGACGAGTTGTGCTCGACAGGTATAGTGTAGTAATAATAAGATGAGTAAATGAATAATTCTAGTAAAATTAATCGTTCGTAGGCACATCATCATCATGTCAGCGACGAAGCTGCATGGCAGTTGAAAAACTGTTCTGAAAACCCAATCGATAGCGCTTATCTAAGGAAAACATCGATCCGAGAAAAAGAATGTGAAGAAACGCGAAGAAAAAAAACGAGGTTGAGTATGTCAGATGATAATAGGGGGGGGGGGGACGATTCGGCTAGCGATACGGCTGGCGATGATTTGAAGAGGCAGTTGGAACTACTGTCGATATCAGTAATGGTCGAATAGGTGATAAGCAAAACCAATAAAAGCGAAATGAATCAACGGGCGTGACAAAAATTGTGCACTTCCGAATTTGTGCATGGATGAGAAAAGGTGGGGAAGGATATAAGTGTAGAAAGGAAAAGAAGAATCGTTGTTGAACGAAATATCAAAATACAGAGCATCTCAGCTTCTGGTTTACACAGCAGAAATGATAAAGCACAGAACTTAAAGGTAGGTCCTGTGTCCAAAAACAATGACTTGTATTGCTCAAATACTTATGAGGAGGTGATAAGTAACACAAAACGAACGAAAAAAGCAGAAAAACCCGCCCGAAATACCCCACGCTAAACGCGTTTATAAGTGCAACAGAAATAGGCGTGGCCGGACGAGTTTCTCGCTTGTCGATGTCGGCGTTGTTCGTGTCTTCAATGTGGTTTTTGCTGCAGACGCTGGGACGTGTCACAGGAGGCTGGATTTGCCGGCGCCAGCCCGCCCAAATGTTGAAGAGGGCAAGCAACAACAACTGGCGGTATACGGGCTGACTGTGCGCCAAACCCTGCCCCCTGACACATCTCAGTGTCTCCAGAGACAACGACCGTATATCACTACATACTAGACATATGAGTTAAGAAAAAAACAAAAAAAATAAAGAAGAGTAAGGAAAAGTGGTTGGAGATAGAGGATGGCTGCGTTTATACTTTTCGCAAGCGTTCCGAGCGTTAGAGCGCGATCGCGAAGTCTGAACGCGCTCTTACGAGCATCCAGAGCGTTTGGAGGAACGATCGATACCTATACGGTCCTTTGAGCTCAAAAACCGGCATTTCGCTTGAAACGCCAAATCGATACCTATACTTTTTTTCGCCCAAAACTCTCAAAACCCGACGAAGAGCTTGGGCAAGATAGGTGGAAATTCAAATGAAACGAGAAGTGGAAGAATTCGTTAAATCGGATTCACGTTGGCCTGACCAGCTTCGCTCAATAGCGACAGAAAGGTTGAATCCATGAAAAAATTAAATGGGAATCCATTAGTGAAAAAACAAAAACCATGCTAAGGAGAAACTGCGTTCCAAACTCATTTAAAAATGTCACCAAACTTCCCACATTAATGAAAAACTACCTAAGGAGTAAATAAAACGGCGACTGAAGTCAAGGAGCGAAATGCGGTCAAGTGAGAAACAAACAATCGTCCGGTTTGCTAACCATTATGCCCCCCTTTGAATACCCCCCCCCGAAAACGAAAACGACTTCCTAAAAAAAAACAAAAACTCGAAATAGCAGTTAACACACCGCTTTATAGGGAGGGAAATGATAACTGGCATGAAAATAAGAAAGGCGTAAATAATGGACCAAATGAGATGAAAAGGAAAAAAAGGAAAAACAGAAAAAGAACGGACCATGGAGAACCGAAGTTCACAGCCACGTGCAAGCGTTACCGTAGGCAGAGAAGACCAAATTTACGACCTGATAATGACGATGACCTTTTGGATGCCACCCGGGTTTCATTATTAATCGCAGGAGCGGTTAAATCTGTACTAAGCCCTTATAATGAAGGCAGGTTAAGTACAAGTACTAAAACGTCTGCCAATTATAAAAAGCCCATGGCGGGATGAAATGACGTCCCCACAAAAGATTTTTCGAAATAATTCATTTGAGGGGGGGATAATTCCTCAGCGCCTCTGCGCCTCTTCCCCCAGCAAAGGCAGATGCTTAGAGTGCAGACGGTCAGAGTCGCCGCAGGCTACTCTAGCAGAGCAGACAAGCTCT